CATTAGCATAATAGGCCACATCCAACAGCAGATACTGATTACGATTGGCTACATTAGGGGTGTGTGGCCTAACATGCAAAGGAGTTCCTGCTACAAAAAAAGGCCCTGGGTTTTGACAACAAACAAGGTAAGCAGAATAAGAAGCAAAAGGTGGGTGTGGCTGGATGAGCACACTTCTGGCAACATGGGGGTGCGTCCTAATGTGCTAATGAGCTGTGCTGTCAGGGGTGTGGCCTAATATGCTAATGAGGTTCTGCTGTTGGGTGTGGCCTATTATGCTAATGAGTTCCTGCTGGGCTTTATCTACAAAAAAAGCCCTGGTTGCCACCATTCTGAACAGTGCCTGTGTTACTGCATCTATAGCTTTGCAATAAAAGTATAACCGTTCCTGAATGCGTGTACTTCGTTGTAAGCTGTGGGTTCTGACACTTCCTGAGCTAAGACAAAAATGTGCGAGCTGGGGGCTAAAGACCCGTGAGCTAGCTCACGCTAACTCAGCTCAGAGGGAACACTGGTTAGGACTAGGGCCTGTTATCCACAAGGTGTGCATTCACCCTTGCTTTCACCAGGCACGCCTGTAGGGTTTTGTTTGTCCTTCTGCATTGATTTTTCTCCCTTCAGCGCTCACTTGGCTTTCTGGTCACCCTTTCCCCGGGTTTTCTGAAAGTGCTTTTGTGCCAGTTTCTCCCTTGTTTCACTTGCAAGCCAAAGGTAATTCAAAAGCATACAGATTCCCTCAGATATCTCCCCCGCCCCTCAAAGGTCACTCCCCACCAGTGTTCCCTCTAAGCTGAGTGAGTGTGAGCTAGCTCACAGTTTTTTAGCCTCCAGCTCACACATTTTTCGTCTCAGCTCAGGAAGGAGGGCTCCAGAGCCAATTAATTGATGCAGTAGCGAAATCACTCGCTCACAACTTTAATGCCAGTAGCTCACAAAGTAGAATTTTTGCTCACAAGACTCCAAAGCTTAGAGGGAACATTGCTCCCCACCCACATCAAGATCATTCCACCCACTCTGTACCTCTTGCCATCCATTTTCCCCGCGTTTTTACATTTTTATTTTTCCGACAACCAGCATGAGTCTAGCGATATGAGACTATCGCTAATCTCCAATTGCTGAATTTTTAAATCTCCGATTGCTGAATTAAAAAAAAATTAAACAATGGGGGAAGTTTAAAAAGAGCTGCGCAAGGTTTCGTTCCCTGCTGGTATTGGCTTGAAAGGAGGATTGGAGAGACGGCAAACAGCAGCATCCCCAGTGCAAAAAAAAAAAAAGCAGTGCTGCATGTAAGCAAAATAAAGGGCAGGGATTGTCAGTGCAGAATGAAATTGACATGAGAAATAAAGAGAGACACTGGGATGGGAAGCCTAAAGCTCTGAAAATCTGCAGTAAGATGTGGGTGCGTAATGGGCCTATGATGCACAGGGAGAGGAGGCTGAAACCTCCCTGAGCTGAGATGACCACCGGGCTGTGCTGTTTGCCCCACTGGGGGGGGGAACCCTCCTGATGAGTTGCGACAGGGGCCCAGGGAGCAAGTCACACAGCCCGGATCTTTGCAGGTCAGGGGAACTCACATGGGGAGAGGAGCTTAAGCCTCCTGCCCCACCTTCTGCTGTCCCACTCCAAATTGTCCCCTGCGCACCTGGGAACTGACTGAGTGCTGAGCCCCGAAGTCAGAGTGCATGCCTGGGGACTGAAGGGAAATGGGGAGTGCAGCCCGACCCCGGAGGGACTTGAGACAGACCTGTCCTCTTCTCTTCCCTTTAACTGCTCGCCATGCAAAACTGAACAAAAAACAAGGGGGGATTTCAACCCAGAGCAAAACCAGGTAACAAAAAAAAGTTGGGGGGGGGGAAAGAAAAAACATTGTATGTAAAAATAGCAAGGTCAGCTCCAAAAAAAGCTAATATTATATAGAATCCAAGAATCTTTAATCAAATTGTAAACATTAAAAACTGTGAATAGAAATCCATAAACTTTAGTTACATACCTCTTTCTCTAGTGCAAGAAAACTTCTTTGTAAAATTACAAATACACATGGGGATACACTTACACACTTTTACAAGCATTTTTCATGTGACCAGGTACAGTTTACTAATGTACACAGAATGCATTTTGGCCATGAGGCCTGCCTCAGGGGTTTAAATTTGTACAATACACAACATACAGTGTATTTCTAAAAATTACAACATGCCTGACCAAAGCACTGAGTTACTTCCAGATGTAAAAACGTTTACATGGAATGGGTGTCTCTCTGTTGTTATGATTAATTAGGACCGTTGGAGAGAACTTTCCAGATGGTAGTGGTTAGTAGTTCAAATTTCTCTATAAGCCAGGTCAGGATACAGTGCTGCCCAATGATGTGTATAGCCCAGTTGGGGGGTGGGGGGTGTTACACTAGAGGAAGGAAGGAAGGTACATTCCCGTGTAACTGAAGTTGATGGAGTTTTATGCATGCTTTCTAATGTTTTCTATTTGCTTAAAGATTCTTTGATTTAATATAATTTTAGCTTTTTGGAATTGATGTTGATACTTCTACATACACTGTTTTTCTTTTTCAACCCTTCTGGTTACCTACCTTAACTGCTCACCATTCCAGGCCATTTTCTTATGGTTATCTATTCTGTGTACTTGAGACTCCCAGGTATGTAAAATTCTCTACTTTATCTGTGGGTTGCCCCAGCTTAGCTGCTTTTGCAGGGCCCCTGCCTCTTCCTCCTTCGAAATCATAATGGCGATGGTTCAGCTTTTGGTAGATTCTCTTTGCGATTCATTTGCATCCCTTATTTGGGCTCCCAGGTGCCTTGAAAGTATTTCAGAGAACAGGATGTGCATTTATGAAATTAAAATGGTCACATTTCCGTGGTCATGTGGCCGGCATGACTAAACACCAAGGCGCACGGAACGCTGTTCCCTTCCCACCGAAGTGGTACCTATTTATCTACATGCAATGTCTTGCTTTCGAACTGCTAGGTTGGCAGGAGCTGGAACTAGAGACGGGAGCTCACTCCATCATGCGGCAACCCGGGTCTCGAACTGCTGAACTACCGACCTTCCACAGCCTGCAGTTCAGCGTCTTAACCACTTGAGCCACCGCAGCTCCCATCAGCCTTGAGGGACTTGCAATCACTCTTTGTTGTGATTGCCAACGGTCTGCTATTTCTCTTCAACACACTCTCTTTCAGGATTCCCAGAACAAGCGCTCAGGCAGATCCATCACCGTCTTTGTGCGCAAGTGGAAGGATAAAGTACCCTGGCCCCGACTCACCAAGGAAGAGTTTAAGGTGGGGGCCTCCGTCGTGCATCCCTCCCACTGCACACCTGAAACGGAGCTGGGGGGGGAGGGGATCTGCCATGGTGAGTTTGACCTCACTGTCAAACCCAAAAGGGGACATTAAGAAGACTGGGAGGGATGTGTTGCTAAGCAAAAAGGGAGTCTACCTGGTACATTTTAAACTCTGTCTTTCCTCCAAGGAGCTCAGGGTGACATGCCTCATTCTCCTAGCCTCCATTTTATCCTCACAGCAGTCCTGTGAAGTAGATTAGGGAGAGAGAGAGTGACAGATCCCAGGTCACCCATTGAGGGTTTGTTTTTGTGATTTTATAAACTTTATTGAAGTTCAAACAATACATCGATAAATCATAGCGCACGTACATGTAGATAACCACGTTCATTAATCACAAGTACAGTTACAGCTCCCTATTCAAGACAAGCATGTGCTAGCTTTTAAAACTCGTGTGGTTCAATCAGTGTCAGAACCCACAGCCAACAACTAAGTACACGCATTCAGGAACGGTAATACTTTTATTGCAGAGCTATAGATGCAGTAACATAAGCACTGTTAAGAATGGCGGTGACCACTTGAGCATAATAGGATATAGGGTATTCGTATGCAACCCCCCCCCCCCAGAGCACTGGCCAATTAGGCACCCTCCCGCGCGCGGGATAAAGCTTGGAGACCGTTAGGTAGCTAAAGCTGAGAACCAACACTCTCCCACGGCACCTAGGAAAAACCCAGACAATACAACTCCCTCCTGCACATCTGTATAGATAAGCATTTCGGCGCAAAGCAGAAGCAGCACAGAAAGGAATGCAGTAGCAATTAACCAGACACAGACCGAGCTCCCCGACCCCCATGGCAGCATAGCTGACAATCAGGCATTGTGCTTGTGAGGTGCTATGGCCCCCTTTGAAAGAAGACCCTGATTACTATACCACTATTGTGCTTATGTGAGATGTCGATAATGCCAAAGAATTCCACAATCATACACGAAACAGTAAGGATGAAAGAGAAGAAGGGACCTAGCGTGAAAGACTGTTATTAGGAAAAGACCCATTGAGTTTCATGGCAGAGCCTAACTATTCCCTAACTATTACACCACCCTGGTTCCCACCCTGGGAAGGTCACCATTCTGGCTGCAGTGAGCCCTCAAGGAGCTCTAGGAAGTGGAGCTGCTGGAAAGGGCCCAGAGAGATTAGAATTCTTGCTTGGGGGGGTGGGATCTGGTGAGGGGGATAAAAGGGTAAAGTTGACTCCGGCAAAGGCCCGTTCCGTCCTCCTTTGCGCAGGGGGGATGCCCCATTGCCGGTGCAGAGAGGGAACTGCGGGGTGTTGTTAACAGCTGGTCTTCCTTGCAGCCGGCGT